CCTTCTCTCTCCCCTTCCTCCCTCTCCTTTCACCCTCTCCCTATCCTCCCTCCTCTCATCCCTCTCTCTCATCCTCTCTCCTTCATCATCTTCTCTTCCTCTATCCTCTTTCTCATTCTTCTTCTCTTCTTCCTTCCTCTTCTCTTCTCGTTCTCATTTCTCCTTTTCTCTTCTCTTTCTCTTCTTCTTCTCTTTCTCTTCCCTCTCTCTCTCTCTCTCTCCTCTCTCTCTCTCCCTCTCTCTCTCCTCATTCCTTTACTCCTCTCATCTCCCCTCATCTCTCTCTTCTCTCTCTTCTCTCTCTCATCTCTCTCCTCATCTCCCTCCTCCCCCCTCTCTCTCTCTCCCCTCTCCCTCTCATCTCCCTCCCATATTCTCTTCTCCTCCTCTCTCTCTCTCTCATCCTCTCTCTCTCTCTCTCTGCCTCCTTCCTGCTCTGCTCTCTTCATCATCTCGTCTCTCTCTCTTCCTCTCATCTCTCTCTCTCTCTGCTTTCCCTCTCCTCAGCTTTCCCTCTCCTCTCCTTTCCCCTCTCACCCTGCTCCTCTCTTGTCCTTCATCCCTCTCTTCGCGCCTCTCCCTCTACACCTCTCCGCTCTCCTTTTCCCTTATCCTCTCCTCTCTTTCCCTTTCCCTCTCCTCTCTTTCCCTTTCCCCTCTCCCTCTCTTATCCCTTTCCTCTCCCTCTCTTATCCCTGTCCCTCTCCCTCTCTTTCCTTTCCCCTCTTCTCCCTCATCCCTCTCTTCCCTCTCCGCCTCCTCCTCTCTTTTCCTCTCGCTCTCCCTCCTCTTTCCCTCTCCCTCTCCCTCTCCCTCTCTTTCCCTTCTCCCTCTCCCTCCTCTTTCCCTCTCCCTCATCCCATCTCTTTCCCTCTCCCCTCTCCTCCTCTTTCCCTCTCCTCTCCCTCTCTTTTCCCTCTCCCATCTCCCGTCTCTGTCCCTCTCCCCTCTCTTTCCTCATCCTCTCCCTCCTCTTTCCGCCCCTCTACCCTCTCCCCCTCTCTTTCCCTCTCCCTCTCCTCTCCTTTTCCCTCTCCTTTCTCCCCTCTCTTTCCCTTCTCCCTCTCTCTCTTATTCTTCCCTACTCCCTTCTTTCCCTCTCCTCTCCTCTCCTCTTTTTCCCCTTTCCCTCCTCCTCTCCCTCTCTTCCCTCATTCCTCTCCCTTCTCTGATTCCCTATTCCCTCTCCCTCTCTTTCCCTCTCTCTCCCCTCTATTTTCCCGTCTCCCTCTCCTCCTCTTTCCCTCTCCCTCTCCCTCTCTTTCACTCTCCTCTCTTTCCCTTTCCCTCTTCCTTCTCTCCTCTCCTCCTTTCTCTTCCCTCTCCCTCCTTCCCCCCCCTTCCTTTCTCTTCCCTCTTCCCTCATCTTTTCTCTCTCTTCCCTCTTTCCTCTCTCTCTCCTCTCTCCCCCTTCCTCTCCTCTCTCTCCTCTCCTCCTCTATCTTTTCTTCCTTTTTCTCTCCTTCTACTTAAACAAAAATCTCATCATCATCTACTCTCACTCCTCATCTTCGTCTCCGCTCTCTCTCTCTCTCTCTCTCTCTTCTCTCCTCTCTCTCTCTCTCTTTCTCCTCTTCCATCTCTTCTCTCCCTCCTCTCTCTCCCTACTCTTTTCCCTCTCCTCTCTTTCCCTCTCCCTCTCTTTCCCTTCCCTCCCCTGTCCCCTCTCGCCTCTCCCTCCTCTTCCCCTCTCCTCTCCGCTATCCTTTTCGCCTCTCCCTCTGCTTTTCCCTCTTCCCTCTTCTTTTCCTCTCCCTCTCCCTCTTTTCCCCTCTCCCTTCTCCCCTCTCTTTCCCTCTCTCCCTCTCTTTCCCTCTCCCTCTCTTTTCCCCTCACTTCTCTTTCCCCTCTCCTCTTCCTCTCTCTCCCCTCCCATCTTCCTCTCTCTTCCCTCTCCCTCTTCCCCTCTCTCCCTCTCCCTCTTCCCCTCTCTCCCTCTCCTCTCCCCCTCTCTCCCTCTCCCTATTCCTCTCTCCCTCTCCCTCTTCCCCCTCTTCTGCCCTCTCCCTCTTACCTCTCTCCCCTCTCCCTCTTCCCCTACTCTCCCTCCTCCCTCTATCCCCTCTCTACCTCTCCCTCTTCTCCCCTCTCTCCCCTCCCTTCTTCCCCTCTCTCCCCTCTCCATACTTCCTCTCATCTCCTCTCCATCTCCTCTTCCTTCTCTCTCCCTCTCCCTCTTTCCCTCCTCTCTCTACCTCATCCATCTCTTCTCTCATCTCCTCTCTCTTCTTCCTCTTCCTCTCCCTTCTCTCCCTCTTCCTCTCCCTCCCTCCCCTCTTTTCCTCTCCCCTTTCCCTCTCTCGCCTTCCGTTCATTACCCTCATCTCTCTCTCTCCCTCATTCATCTCTCTCCCTCTCCCTCTTCTCCTCTTCCCTCTACCTCTCTCTCTCTCCCTCTCCCTTTTTCCTCTTCTCCCTCTCCCTCTCCCTCTCCACTCTCTCTCTTCCTCTCCTCTCCCTGTCCTCTCGTCTCTTCTCATCCCCTCTCTCCTCTCTCTTCCTCTTCCTCCCCTCTCCCTCTCCCTCCTCTCATTTTCCTCTCTCATCTCTCTCCCCTTCTTTGCTCTCTCCTCACTTCTATCTCTCTCTGTCTGTCGTCTGTCTGGTCTTCTCTCTCTCTCATCTCTCTCTCCAGCTCCTCCTCCCTCTCTCTCGTCTCTCCCTCTCTCCCACTCTCTCTTCTCCCTCCTATCTCTCTCTTCTTCTCTCTCTCTCTCTCTACTCTATCTCTCTCTGCTCATCTCCCTCTCTCCTCTCTCTCTCTCTCTCTCTCTTCTCTCTCTCCCTCTCTCTCTTCTCTCTCTCCCTCTCCCCCCCCTCTCTCTCCTCTCTCGTCCTCTCGCTCTCAGTCTCCCTCAACTCTCCGGCATCTCGCTTCGCCCGTACCCTTTTTTCCCGAACCCTCGCCTTCCTCTTTTGTCCTGCCGCCTGCTTGCCCCTCCCCGTGTTTTCTTTCTCGACTCCCTGTGGAAAATACACGTGTTTTATTTATATACCCATGTGTATGATAACAATATTTTCCGTAAGTTACTGTGTATCAACAAGTTCTCAATGTTGCCACTTCGTATATTCAATCATTTTACAATTTTCATTTATAGAAATTAAAGATCGGCTTTGTTTTTTTTTTTTAAAGTGATAAATAACTGTTTCTAAATTTGTGTTTGAAACTGTGGTCTGTACCAATATATATGCATTGTGTCTTTTTTCTCTTTTTTAATTTACTCCTAGTCTTCTACCGTGAATTCTAAAAAAAAAAAAAAAATGTGTTGCTGTTGTTATACATATTGCCCAACATAGAAAGAAAAACATGAACGAGAAGAAATATTCATTCGAATGCAAACTACATGAAAACTGTTCGAAAAGTAACAATGAATTTAGCTGCTGAAATTTATTAGTTTTGACCCGGCATTTTGAAATAGAGAAACTTCCGGTAATTGTATGCAGATATGAATTTCGCGAAAATAGAATACATTTGCTTGCAGCCACGGAATCTTAGAAGTGACGGTCATCACCAGACCTTTGCCACCGGTAAACCCTAAATTCATTACTGAAATTGTTGTGTGACCAAAGAACGTTTCCCAATTCAGATGAAAAAAAGTGCAATGATTGTTTAAAAAAGAGTAGAAACTGATAAAACAATTTACGAAAAATAATAAAATAACTATCATCGTTAACAAAAATCAGAAAACAAATATATAGAAACTAAGTGAATTAATGAAAAATAGGCACTCTCCGGCATTCTGGTGGATCCTGAGCTGTGTTGGCTGACGCTGCTGCACCTCAGTGTAGTTGTGGAGTGAGGAGGGGAGGGACGTATGTCGTTGCTCGTGGGGAGAGCATCCAACCTAATTGAGTTTTTAGAGGATATCGTTGGAAATCTAAATTAGTTTCAATGAGTATGGACTCTAAAGATTACGACCATGTCAAGAACCTTACGCTCTTATTCTTCCTTGACCGGCTCATGGACAAGGGTCAGCCGCGTACGCTGCATGACCTCAGCTGTCAGTTCGGGACGAAAGGCTTCACCAAGGAAATGCGTCAGATCGCAGGCGGGTCGCAGTCCGGCCTCAGAAAGTTCCTGCAGCAGTATCCGTCCCTGTTCACGCTCGAGGAGGACTATGTGTCGGTCACCAACTACAGCAACGGGATCTCCAACCCGCACGACCCGACGGGGAAGCTTCTGGGCAAAAGGGACTACGTCAAGGAGGCTGTGGATTATTTCGTGGGCAAATTGCGACAGTACGGGGCAGGGACGGAGGTTCCCATTAAGTCCCTGCTTGGCCACAGGTCCCAGGCATCGCCAGAGGTCCGTCACGTCTCGGGGCAACACGTGAAGGAGTTCAGGGACTTCCTGGTCAAGTCCCCCGACGTGTTCGTGGTCGGGGAGGAGACGGTGATCCTGAAGGAGTACGAGGGCGTGGCGCCCCAGCCCTTCAAGGAGCTGGAGGTGCCCAAGATCGACCCGGTTTTGACACAGCAGGTAGGTAAAGCCACTGGTGTAGGGAGAAACTAGGAAAAGGGGAGGGTGCCTCGCCACCCTTTCCCTCACACATGGTTTCACTTTTAAACGTTTACACAAGACTACTAGTAGTGGAATTCTTTTTCCTCCTCTCCTTCATTCTCTCCCTCCTCTTTCCCCCTCCTTCCTTCTCCCCCCCCACCTCCGTCAGGTGACGGAAGGGCGGAGCAGAAAAGAGGATCGTAAAGTAGGGTAGACAACACTATAAGCCTACAACAGTTTCATGGGATTGTTTTGGTTGCTGAATCATGCTCGCACACACAGGCTCTGTCTATACGTGTACACACGATAACACATTCACATGTACACCCATGTACGCACGGCATATACTTAGGGCGAACAGATTGTATGATAACGAAAATAAACACACGCATACACCTATTCCCCCCCTCTCCCTCTCCCTCTCCTTCCCCCTCACCCTCCCTCCCACATCTTTCGGAGAGACAGAGAGAAAAATACGCCTACACATACCTTTCTTTGT